CGAGGAACTGGTGCTGTCGCCAAAAATGCTGTGTGATATGTTTTGTGTGTGTGCGTGTTTTGGACTAATGATTGACACGTAGTTTTCAACACGATAAATTTCAACCGGTGAACATGGTAAATATTACCCTACTGGCGCTATTTGGCAAATTCTCCTTAATCAGGACTTAGGCGTGGAGATTAATGAGTAATTTTATCTCCGGGGTATCGGGGGGAACTTGTTTTCTCATGTAACTGTTAGTCCCGCGTAATATATGGTTTATTGATGCCATGTTTACCAATGAGTTAGTATGATCTCAAAAAAACGGGAGTTTTCGAAATTTTTTTTGCATATTTCCCGTGATACACTGTCAAGGTTTATTCTTCGTCAAACGTCTTCAAATGAATTTACGTAAATAGTCTATCGTCTTCTGACGTAAGCACGCGTAGTGAGGCGGCTAATCAGGATAGGAACACTAATTACCCTGGGAAAGGCTAATTTCATAACACTTCAAAATATTTCAACTCGATGATTAGCGTAATTTTCAATGAAATTCAATATTCGAGCAATATATATATATATATATATATATATATATATATATATATGTCAGAACGTTCTAAAAGGCTAATGAATCCTTCCAAGAAGGGCTGTGGAAGAACTCGAAAGAATGAAGATAAGATGTTTGTCGCTATTTCAAGAAACATTAATTTTACGGCATTCAGAGTATATATAAAAGCATATATTGATAACGTAATTATGTAATCACCAGTGTTAATGTTCTGTGAATAAATGGAACTTAATGAAAAAAATTCATTTTTCCATTTTATTCATGTCTTGCGGCTATTTGTTAAATCCTTCTTACATTAGATGGCATTCAATACTGTTTAGAATCTCAACAGGTACATCTATCTATTTCAGTGCCAATGAATCCGCCAAACTAATACTACCATGGCGCTTGGTCGACTGAATTGGTACATTTGATATTGATTCCACATTCATCTTTAAATGCCAATGCATCAAGTTAATTAAGCTAATAATTTTCAAATTTGCCACAAATGTTCAGTCCCAAGGTGGTGAGACTGAAATAAGCGATTAGCAGTATAAAACTGTCATGCGCTAACATAGCGATTTCATTATAGAGGGTTAATGGGTCACGCTTAATAAAATACACCAGTGTTTGACGCTTAGGTAACTGAAATTTGAAGTTCATCTTGGGCAAACACCCGAGGAATAAAAAATTCAAATGAAGAGGGAAATTTACTTTTCATTAACCTTGACATATAAGATAAACAAAATGCTTTAGTGAGGCTAATAATCAGGGAAATAAGGAAACCATATTTCCCCGACTTAAAAAAGTTTTATGGCCCATCGATTTTGCCTAATTTATCCTCATTAATAGAGCATTTTTTGATAAACAAACGGGGAAGCGGATTGGCGTGAAGAGTAATGAGTGGAATTGCCAATTTCTTAGCTTCCGAAAGTCATTTATCAAAGAAGATTTCTATTCATCTACCAAAGTAAGCCTTAGTCATGAACGCCTCCACACCAACCCTATACTTCAAAGAGGTGTCAATTTTATTTAGCCTTGATGGTGTTATATATTTATTAACTGATCGATGAATACAAGATACCACACCTTGTCAGCATCAAGGTCAGCAAATTGCAAATCATCAATCTTATATATGCATATTCATTCTAATGAAAAGTTTTTCCTCTATTGTAAGCAAATACACGTACTAAAGCAAAAATTTTAATTAAAATTTGTTTGCAGTCACACCACAATATAATGCTAATCCATATAAAAATTATTTTGGGAACTTGAACGGGTTACACTGGATACCACGCCACAGAACGAGTGGTCTCCCTGAAGCACGGGACGAACAATGGGCTTTTGTAAGTCAGAAGACCAAATAATTGAATCTCGTGCGTATTAAGCAGGAGGAAGAAACGGGAGGAATGGAAAAGGAAAATGAAGAAAGCAAGTGTCGACGTTGAGTGAATGATCACTGGATTGTGACAAGCAGGCCATATTAAGATGAAGCTTGAGAAGTGAACTACTCAACCGATAAAATTTCACCATTTGGCATTTGGAACAGTGTAGCCTTTGGGAGTCCGTAGATGTTCTGTCTAAATCATCGCAAAATACCTACCTGTTTGGCATCTGCCACGTGTCACTCTAATCACTATGATTTTCAGTTTACTAAATTTTAACCAGAACGTTCTCTAAAGGTCATCACTATTCTAATTGGTCAATGTTTTAAAATGCTTTAAAATTATAACATATATAGATATATTTTTAGACGCTGTGAATTGACAGATTTGATCATTTTGTTGCATGAGATAGGATATTTTGCGGAATTAAGTGGAAAGAATATCTGATTATATATGATTAATTACTGGCTAAAGTGTTGTAGTCTAGAGATAAGTTAACAATTCAATGATGTAATAAATGGCCGCATTTCGATTAATGCTGCAAGCGTGAAAAGCACAATGCAGCGCTTTTAAACAACAGAAGTGCAAAATGAATCAAAATGGTTGTTTTTTGAGATATTCATTAAGATCTAATTGCTTCAATCTAACTACTACCGGAAGATGTGCATGAAGAACCTAATTTGCAGTTGCTTTGTCGTCAATCCGCTATTTATAGTTTATGCTGTTTGAATTTACGAAATTTGATTTGTGGAATGCACAACGCTATCATGGCTGATCAAAGAAATCTCATGCAATCTCAGATAGACTCGAAGGTGCAGCGTGGTCCACTTGTCTCGTAGGGAGCATGTGCGGTAGTGAGCACAGAGACCACTCAACTAGCAACCAATCAATAGCCCATGCATATTTTAACAACCCCTTAATAACCATAATAACTAAACTCTGTGATGGACGCACATCCCAAATAAGCGCGTACCACACCTTGCGTATGTTTCCTCTATACTGTTGGGGGGGGGGGGGGGATCTAGCCAAGGAGATTCCTGAAGATTTATTCATATCAAATGGCAGGCCTTCACAGAGAAGAAATATGAAAATGAAAAAAATTCGAGGGGGAAGGGAAACAGAAGAGTGTTTCAAAGATGTAAAAGAGAGACACAAAGGTAGAAAAAAGGTGAGGTGAGTACTGTGGAAGTAGTCAAATATGGCATACAGTGGGGTGATGGTAGTTAGAAGCCAGAAGTCAACTGCCGGTTAATAGACTCTTTTGCCGTATGAGTATACGTTGGCCAGGGTGCACCATGTGGAGGCAAGTCTATTACGCACCCCAGATTCCTGAAGATAAATCAAGGCTTGTTGGTGAAGCAATCCACTGCAGATTTCAAACTAGATAGCAAGCTTGGGTGCGCTCTGAATTTGAATAATCACTATAAAATTAGAATTTAATTTAATTTCGTTTGCGTAAGGAATTAAATTTAATTACTCCTTATTTCTTTAAATTGCTATTTTATGTTTTCCGAATTAAAATAAATGTTTTTTTTTTAATCTTGGTTGTTATCACCTGATGCTATTTTAATCAGATAATCCATAGTAATTTTACCAAATAAAATTAAGAATTACTTTGCTGTGCAGTTTTGTTTTTTTTATGAGAAGAGTTTGCCCAAACAATGCTATGTATTTATAACAACCGGTTTGCTAAAAAGGCAATTTTAGATGTCTTCTACCCTTGAGCATCAATAAATTTCACCAGCAATGACAGTTTACACGTTTAAGTCACGATAGAGCATTTGATGGCGTATGTTAGCAGAATGCGATGTAATATGGGATAGATGAGGTTGTTGAATAGGTCGCTAAAAGCCAGATTATTTAGAGTCCTACTTAACCTAAATTCTGAGAGCAATTATCTAATCGGCTTTCCCGAAAAATGTGAAAACATGTCGCATACACTTTAAATCCAAGTGTACACTATTTAATCTTTAACTTTTCGGCGAGTTCATATCTGTGATATTCAGCGATTTTGATAGGCTAAAGAACAGCATGGTTGGACATGTCGCAGTGAAAGTGGCATTATATTCATAAATCAATAAAAAATCTAAAACCACAAACCCGTGCTTTAAAAATTTACATCTCAGCAGCAATAAGGACGGGTTTGAAGCTTCTCGTCATTCTGCAAAATTATATAGAAGTACGTTGTAAAAAGTTTACACGTATTTTATAATCATGTGAATTCAAACTTCCTTTGGTCCCTTGTTAATTTGATTCAAATTGCTCAAGTCAAAATAGTTTTAAGGATAGACATTGACTAACCAGCAATCTTTTAAATGGGGGCTACACATTGAGCTACACATTTCTTCTCAATTGTTTAATGTAATCTTTCTTATTCAAATCGCCTCTTAGATACCTTTCTGGGTCTATCATCTTGATCTATTAATCCAAATTTACAGGCCTAATTAGGTCAACAAATTCTGCCGTTATAATTGGTCCTAATGTGACTACTATCCAGATAACTGCTTTCCCAGATTTAATTATCGATCGCAACCCAAATATAAAAGAAAACAAGTTGGTTCTAACTGTCCCTCAAAGTAATTGAAATTCTCATAATTATCTAAAACACACCTTTCTTTAAAAACTACGATCTAGATATCATTATGCAGAATAATGGGTCAGCACATATGTCAAATACTCGCAGTGCAAGGGATGAACGTATGCACATGTACACGAGCAAAAGCCCATTCACAGCGTGAATCGATAGAAATGTGCGGAGTATCATCCCAATTAACCATGTCATTGGTTGACACACCCTGGTGCCTGCATATACGCATTAACGCGCTATGCAAAGCGAGATTTACGTAAATAAGCCAACTTAGGCATAAGATAGAAGCGATTAAATGCTTTTAAAGTTCGAAGACAATGCATTCTTTCTTCTTCCTAATTACAGGTGTAAAGGTAAAATTCAAAAACACAAGTAAAATTGTCCTCTAAATGCAATGAGAGATAGATTGCAGTCATTTGTGCGTAGTAGGATTCGAGAATTTGAGGAAGGGAGAAGGGGGGAATTAAAACACTATACAAGTCAGATCAATAGTCATTACCTAATCATGAATAGGAGGTGAAGAATTATTGAGGTAGATAATATCAGGGGAATTATCCGGGGTCACACTAGCTGAAACGCCGGCACTGGTTGAACTGTGAGAATAGGAAGAGGGAATCTGTCGAATGTTTCCACTCTTTCGAAGAAGCTCATAGGCTTCATCAAAGTTCCAATTCAAGCGCTCCAATAATCTTTCACAAGAAGATTTAGATACATACCCCATTCGACAAAGCAGCTCAACTTTAAGACGACGTTCCGCTTTCTGAAAGTTCCAGCTAGATCCAATCAGCACAGCTCGACATTCATCTAACCTTGCAGTAGGCACTTCATATTGCAGTTTTTCCACAAGAGTTTGTTGAACTAACCGAAGGACTTCTTTGTGGCATTCTGATCTACCTCTACGCAGTTTTACCGATTGAAATTCATCACCAGATTGATTAGTTCCGGGTGACGAGCAGGCCAAAATATCAGGGAGATTTTCATAATGTGATCGATTGTCATCGATTGCTTTCGCGGAAAGACTTGTAGGGCGACCTGCATAATTGGCACCCTTACCGTTGCAAAACGATGTTCCCGTCTCTTTTCGTTGTTTGGATCGACTTTTTGGCGGATTTATGACCCAGTAGTGGGTATCACTTATTTTGACACCATTCTGCATTACCGGATAGATACGAACATCTTCAGTTCCGTCACTTTCTTCATCGAAATAGTTGAGAAAACTACCATCTTCCGAATATACGGAGGCGGCCAAAGAGGTAATATCAACAGGATTTGGGACTGCCGCTTTTGAAGAGGAATCTGCAGAATCTTGTGACCTTTCAAGTGCAGATTTTAACCAATAAGGACAAGCTCTAGGGGGAGGCAAAGGAGTAGTGATTTCCGCTTCCAATTCCGCAAGCATTGGATGGACATATGAGCAAGTGTTTCCACTGCTGCTAGATCTATCTTCTTTTTCATCGAAAAACACGGAAGTTGCCATCGACCCAGTTTCAAACATTAAAGAAGGCCTGGTTCCATATTTGAGTTGACTGTATTTTCCAACTATCGGAGAAAATGGTCTTTTTGCAAATTTTTCACTCTTTTCAGATTTGGAAATACGGCAGGAATGAAAAAATCTGGACTTGGCGCTGTTAAGTCCCTTAAAATACTCATGTTTTGATGGTGAAGGTTCTGGAGGACGGGGAGTTAAGTTTGGATTCTCAGGTTGTGATCTTTTTGGCATGGATTTTGTTCGTCGCAGACGATCGAAATGAAAGTACTGGTGAATAGAGGATGATGTCTCCTTGAGGGAATCAGCTGACACTTCAGTGAAGCCGTCCCGAGAATTCGACTTTGAGCTCATATTTTTGAACTGTGAGGAAATACACGATATCTGCAAATGTTCACAAGCAGATGTGAAATAGCGAATCAACGAGGAGTGCGATTTCATTGGTTGTCTAATTTCCAATCAGAATAGGAAACACGCAATCAGCTGCGTTTGTGTGCCTTACATTAATTTAGATTTTTGTTTCTACATAAATTAAGATCTAGTATTTTCACTTTGAAATTTTCATAAATACCCGAATTACTCCAATAAAACGAAGGAAATCGTGAATATGCACAGAGCTAATCAACATTTTCAATGAAAATGCAGCTTTGATCACGATTTCTTCGAAAGCGAAATTAAATTTTTAGTCCTATTCCTATTATAGAACAGAGATTGTTTCGACCTAATTGTGGTACAAAATCAAAAAATCATTTCATGTAAAATTGCCATTGGAGTATCTCTTCAAATATGTTTGTAACTATACGGCAGAGTATTTAATTAGGGATCCATTACACTTATTTATTTGTCTCCTGACATGCAATCTTTTATTAAAACGACATTTTTTTGTTTTCTGTCTACTTCCTGCATACTGACTTAGATTGGCAGACTAAGCACTTTAGTTTGATCTTACTTATTTTGAAAATGCAATTTAATAACAATCGTAAACAGGTGGTGTAGAACCCCAGTAATTGCTTTAATAGAGCGATTAAAATGTCACCACCCCAATAGCGATTTGGTTGGTGAGTAGTAAATCACCCTGCATGGAATGTCTTTAGTAAAATTTGCGTGCTGAAAACTCCATTTTCACTAGCCTGCTCACAAAGTTTATTCCCAGATGTATTAAAGGCATTTTCTATTTGTGTTATATCAAAATGAAAAGAATCAACACAACTTGAAGAATTTGTTGTGCATCAAAATAAAAATACGCTTTTCTTTTGGCAAGCAAAAGCAGCAACTTTTTTAAATTACATCCCACGGTGAGTGAATCAAATCACATCAAAAGACTTGAAGTGAGCAGCAATAAACGTTTAGATTGCCAGTTTAGATGCAGTAAATATGTCATGCTTCTTCAATAGTAAAAATTGCTACTATGGAGTATTTTGGCTGTTAGGGCATAAGAGAAATCTGAATGAAAGGTCTGAAGCTATTACGTTTTCAAGGCCACAAAGTTCAAATATTGACGGAAAGGTAGATCGGTCACATGCTTACCATCCCCCAAAGCAAGACAAAGGCTATTACATGTCAATCTGTTAGAAATTGTCATCTTCTTTGGGAAAGTTACCTACAGCTTGAGGCATTCCCCATGATGTATAGGATACCTAATCTTCCCTTCTTCACCTCATGTAGAGAGAATAAAAGGCAGAATTGGCATAATTGACCCCATTAAGTGATAAATGGTATAAAAACGCTACTTATTGATAAAAAATCAATGTTGGCTGTGAGTTAATATCGTTATGATCGAGCTGAAAGACGATTTCATTTAAAAATTGGTTGATGCTGCATTTAAGCAATAGTAGACGATATAAAGCGTTCTTGAAATTGTTTGCTCAAACAGTCGAGTTAGATAACTATTTACTCAGGAATTAACTTACGCAATTCCCACTTAGTATTGCTTCAATATATATTGTTTGTTTTTTTATTTTAAGCCCTTTTCTTAAAAAAACTGATTAACATAATTTCTCATTAGAGGTGAAAGTTGGATAGAGATGCAATAAATATAGTTAATTGCCTTAAAGAAGTTTCTAATTGTTCATATTAAGCAGAAAGAAATCTATTTTTTTGTTCCAATTTTTCCCATGGAATAAGGTCCCGCTTGAATCCAAAGGTGAGTATTTACGTCAGAGTTTGTGAGACTTCTCAATTTACTTCACTTTATTCAGTTATCCTGATAATAAGTTGATATTTGACCTAATCTAATAGGTCCAGAAAGAACACTAACCATTTAGTTTGAATTAACAATTATTTGGTAGGTTCTTATTATTGAACAAAGCAGAATTGGGGCGCCAATATGTACCGGGTGATTTATATTTCAGCCAGCCTACCGAGTTAGTTATACTAATTAAGTGCCTCTAATTAATTCACGTTAATTTGATCCAAAAACAGCTCACATCCATTTGAAAGCTACCTTGAGAGTCAGACGAAATTATGCCAAACACTCCGTCAGAGAAGTAATGATCAGCCAAGAGCCATTCATGATTCAGAGAACCGAGGGTCCAGTAGAACTAGAAGGTTATTGGACAACTGACGAGATGGAGAAGAGGAGACTGGATTGCGAGGACCATGTGGAATGTGCACTACTAGGCAGTTGATCCCAATTCGCATTCTTTGTGTACCATCGATTGGGATAACGGAAGAGTCAGTTTGGTTGGAATTCAAAAAGGCCCAAGGCAAACCTTCAGTCAGAACGCGCCGGGGGTACAATAGATTGCACACCCCATAATTTGCTAATTTAGTCGGTCGAAACGAAATGAAAATACTACCTAATTTTCCAACTTTTGACTAAAATCTTAAGTATAATAATAATAATAAGGCCCATATTTACAGTTATAATTTGGTTCCATTTTGGGTACATGTTTGAAGATCACACCATATCCCTTTTGCTCTCTCTTGACCGCAAATCTCCTCATCACATGCCAGCCTGATGTTGAAAATAAATGAATAGCCCACATACTAAGAAGGTCTTACTCATTTTATACTATCAAGTGAGCAGTGTTACGTTATAACGTCAGTGACCCCGTAAGTTCGACTTAAAAGACAGAACGCAATGACAACCCTAGATTTAGCACACTTTCTCAGTTTAATAGATTTTAGCATAGTTAAGGCAAAAATTGTAAATTTTATGAATTATTAAATACTTTTATGGGATGTGGGATAGACTTACCTCCACGTGGTGCACCCTGGACAACGTATACTCATACAGCAAAGTCTATTAACCGGCAATTGACTATTGACTTCAAACTACCATCACCTCACTGTATATCACATTCGACTACTTTCACGGTACTCACCTCACCTTTTTCCTACCTTTGTGTCGGTCTCTTTTACATCTTTGAAAAACTATTCTGTTCCCACAACCAACTCGATTTTTTTCACTTTGACGTTCCTCCTCCCCTCTGTGAAACCTGAAGTTCACTAAAAAGGCTAATGATCACTATCAAAACGCCTGTCATTTGATATAAATTTATTTATTTATATCATTTGATAAATAAATGAAATACTTTTGTAGTCTTCGTCCGATAGCAGCAAAACTCATCACTTTGGCATCAGTCTGCTATGAGACACGCGTGAGTACGGTTGGGTGCATTTTTAAAGATATAAAAACAGGAAACAAATTCCTTTCTCCAAAATGAATACTTTTAAGGCAAAAATTGTAAATTTTATGAAATATTAACAGTAATATATAAATAAAAAATTTTATAGAATACAAACCAAACATCTCCATCACACACAATGATTTTTTGACATTAAAGTAGAGAAAGAAATTTTGAATCCGTGTGACTCTTGGATTTAATTTTGATTGGAAATAAGATTCGGCAATATCAGCGCAAAATTACCCAGTAAGAGTACTATGGAAGATTTATATCAAGTGGCAGGCATTTTGATTTCTAAGAGTATTTATTTATATCAAATGGCAGGCGGTTTGATGGTTATCATATTCAGGCTTCACAGAGAAGAAGGAACATCAAAGTGAAAAAAGTCAAGAGGGGGAGGGGGGGGGAACAGAAGAGTGTTTCAAATATGTAAAAGAGACAGACACAAACGTAGAGTGAAAAAGGTGAGGTGAGTACTGTCGAAGTAGTCGAATATGACATACAGTGGGGCCATGGTGGTTTGAAGTCAGAAGTCAATTGCCGGTTAATGGACTTTTTTGCCGTATGAGTATACGTTGCCCAGGGTGCACCACATGGAGGTAAGTCTATCACACACCCCGTACTATGGAAGAAAGTTGTGGAACTTGGCGGAGTCAGAGGCTTTTACCAAAAAAATGCGAGTTGAAGTGGACGGTCAGCGTGATAAAGTGAACTGACATTCCCTTTGAAGGATGTTGCACATTCGTGGCATTTCTTATGCATACTGGACTTATAAGCAAATATTATGTGCCCTAGCGATTAGATATGGGATATCTTATTCTATTTCCGTAAAGGGTAAATTCTTTTGTGGAAGTGAAATTTAGTACTTTTAGTAGGGAAAAATAATAAAATAATAACGTAAATGGAGTACTTGGCGTAGCGTCTTGCAATGCATAAAGCACTTTCATGCCATCCATTTCAACTCTGTGATCAATGATTGAGCCAAGTTGAAGACATGAAGTATATGGATTCACCCGATGTCTTGAAGAAGTCGTTTTTGGAAAATATCTTGCATTGATTCGTTTTTCCCTCTCTCCTATTTCTCGGCACATTTTGAGTTATATTTCACGAAGTGCAATGGATATTTCTGTGCATTAATGCCAGAGTTGAATGTTAGTATAGCACTAAAAACGTGAATAAAGTAAAAATAGAAATAGTGCATACAATACTTAAAGATGAGAATTATGATGGAAATTAATTAATAAAATTGGGCTGAGGGATCCGCAAATAAATCAATAATGCCCATTGTACCACTGACCGGCCATTGAAATAGCGGTGATCTTTCGAATTTCACAATGACTAGACCGTGAAGAATATGCCATTACTCTGGGGGGGGGGGGGGGTAGAAAAGTGTTGCCTTTACCAAGGAAACACCAACATAATTGTCATTTGAAGAAGAGAATATCCAACCCACACGTACCTTGCTTCTAACTGCTTATCTACCACGATCGATTTTGTGGTGATACTAAGCCCTTGAGAAATAAAATGCATAAATAACAAATGAAATAGCTTTAGCAGTGCCTACATTTGCAGATGCCCTCATTAACTGAAAGCCTCAATTGTTGTCAGCGAGAGATTCGCAGTAATCATGAAAAGTAAAATTGGGTGGTCATTAACTTCGTAATTACAACATTGAAGTATCAACTTCCAATCCGGAATGATGCTCTCTGGTGGGGAATTAGAAAG